GGCACCACCACCCCCTATCTCCTTCCTCAACCCCACTATCACCAATTTCTCCCAAAACGCCACCACCGCAATCAAACCAAAATCAACCCACCCAAATCCAGTGAGATCGAATCAAAATTGGTGAATCAAAAGACTTCACAGTCGAATCAAAAGTCGTCCCTTTGGATTCACTGAAAATGGTAATTTTGCTTATTTGGTTATTGATTTTTTTTTTCTTTCGAGAATGAAATCGGATTGATTTGTTTATTGTTGTTGTGGATTGATTGATGAATGGTGCGTCTGAGAAATGTACATGCAAAGATGTTTGAACAAGCAGCAGAGGTTTCTCAACAAATTGATAGATTATGCATGGGCGTTGATTGTTGGGATTGTGAATTTGAATTTGCAGAGGTTTCTAAGCTTGATCGGTGATTTAGTAGTGAACTGGATTTGAGAGGTGAAGAAGGAGATGGTGTTGCCGTCAGTCCACCAGTCAATGGAGGTACAAGACGGCTGGTGATCCAGTGGTAAACCCGCGACGGGATGAAGGTTGAAGAAGGAGATGGTGGCTGAGTTTCAAATTTTTGTTTGGGGCAGGGCGACGAAGGAGATGAATAGTGTGCTCAAAACATTACGACCCATCACTGAAAAATGTTAGAAAAAACTTGCTGAATGCTCAAAACATTTTCATTGTTGGTGGCTATTAAGGAATTGTTGAGCATTTTCATTGTTGGTGGCTGTGGGGAGGTGCGACAGCATGTTGGTGGATTCTGATGGCTGCACAAGCCAGGTGGCGTGGGTGAAGAAAGAGATGAACAATATTATTTTCTTTTAATTATTACTTCAATTATTTTATGGGGATAAATAGGAAAGTTACCATTTTACCCTTTTAAAATTTGGTCAAATTTTACTATTTTAGTCAACTAACGGTCAAATAGATAGAAATCGTCCATTTGGACCTCCGGTGCATATTTTTGAAACGTTTGGGACCTCCGCTAGCACAAATAAAGGTTTGGGCATAGTCTGCAACTAATTGAAAGGTTTGATACCTTGACTGCAATTTTCCCTTTTAATTATGTTGAACGAAAAAAATTTGAAAATTCAATAGTATTGAGTACATATTAATCTTTGAATTTAGAATTTCAATTAATATTTATCTACAATGCCATTTGATCGACTGCTGCAGGCCAAGAAAAGTCGATTCTATTTTTCAATCATGTACTCTAATTTTGATTTGAAATTTAACATTAAGTAATTAACTAAATATTCTTATGGTTCTCTACTTCTACTATATGATTTGACAACACTATATAATATCACTTATTTAATTATAAAAATGAAAAGATGAACAAATCCTCATTGTAATAGGTCTATTGATGTTTCTGAACACACAATTATATAACACAATATATAATAATTTATAATACACAACAATTTTTTTTTTTTATTGAAATTTATAAGTGATTTTACAATGGTAAGTTAAATGTGCATAATTTATCAATTAGCATACCCGGTGAGTATTTTTAATTGCACCATATATCAACAGTGTTCTTGTTCTTTCTTAGAAAAAGGATAGATGAAAAAAGAGAGGTTTGTTGCAGACGTATCAAATCTTTCAAAAACATGTCATCAATGGAAAAGTCGAGTGTACTATGTAAATATCGAGTTTGCAAGTTATAGAAGTATAAATATTATGTGTAGGTAGGTTCAAAACGGCCCAATTCGATTTGAGTTATACAGCAACTATTCCAAATCGTGAAACTTTCAAAAATCGATCCAAATGGAGCTGAGTTGATTTGGATCAGATCGATTAGACTAGTTTCTGGTCGAGCCCTAACCACAGTCATCACCACTGAGGTGAGTGGGAATTTCTTTCTCGGGCTTCACAACTCAAACCCGTAATGTAATTTTTACAAAACCAACAAGATTTTCTTCGGGTTTGGTGACCTCAAGTTTTGGTACATAAACTAGGGGAGAAACCCTCCCCTCCCTCGTTGGTGCGATGTTGTGGTGGGGTGCTCAAGGATTGGAAAAGAGTACTCTTTTATTTATGAATAATGCTCATTGTACAATGTTGGGTTACATCATCGAGTTACAACCTCTCACAAGGGAGGTGAGGCCCACTATTATTTTAATCGTGGGGCTCACCTCCCTTGTGAGGTTGTAACCCAATGTTGTAATTCATGTGTTGTACATGTAGCATTATTCTTTATTTAACCCATGTTTCGTGGTCATTTTTTGAAAAAATATTATTTTAAACGGTGATTTTTTGGAAAATGTTTAGAGTATTTATTAAAAGTATGGAAAAGTTTTGAATTTACGTTTAAAGTATTTTATTGTGTGAATGTGTGGTTAAAAATGAGTATGTAAAAAAAGAGTTTTTGACATCTCATTTGTATTTAGAGGGTGTTTGGTGGGAATTAAAATTAGATTTTTAGTAGATTATGATAGAAGTTTTTGA